GCTACGAAAAGGTCAGAGTCCGTGACGTCAGGCAACACACAACGGCCTCGCCGCGCGGCAGACACTGGGACGAAGGGGGAAAAACTTGCCCGGCAATGTGTGGTTGTGTGAGGTAGGTTTTGCGGGGTTTCTTTGAGGTTTGTGGTTTTGGATTGTCTCGATGTCGAGCTGGCAGGAAAGTCTTGTCAGCGGTCGATGAGAAAATACTGGTGTTGTTCGCTTTCCAAGCGGAATTGCGTGGTTGAGAAGCTCAAGCACAACTGCAAGAAGGAGAGCACAGCGGCACTATGGCGGGTCGACTCGAGAGAGAGAGGCTGTCTTGAACCAAAAGTTGGGGCAGGTGGGCGGCTTGAGGGGGTGAAGATTGAGTGCGAGGACATGTTCGACTTACCGACTACAACGGTGGTGCGGGCAGAGTTCCTGGTATCAAGCGAAGATCAGGAAAGTCGAGGCGGTGAAGGAAGAGGAAGGATGAGGCAGGTTTGATGATTGGGATGCACAGGAGGTGGAAGGATGGCAGCTGTGAGGTGTGAGGTGGAGGGAGAAGATCGTCAGCCTTTCAAAAATTTGGTCGCCCGACACAGCAGCTGAGTGTTGGTCCAGGATTCGGGTCGCTGGGGGACCTGAATTGGGTGGGTAGAGGGGGTGAGGGGGTGATTGAGGCGCTGACGGTCTGGTGGGCGGTGGGCAGCAGGCCATCCACTCAGTCAGTCAGTCCAGTCGGTGGGCGATTGGGATGACGGGACGGACAGGCACAGGGGCATGCGCTAACCACGCCAAACCTGAAAGCCTTTGGGGGATGTGCAAGAGGTGCAGGGAGGGACCTCCCGGTGGAGACAAGTACCGGTACTTCAGGTCCCAAACGGTTGTTGAGGTTTGAGTGGACCCCAACTTGCAGCAGACCCCCTACCCCTCCAGCCCCGCCGTTGGAGCTTCACCTCAACCCACTAGACCTCTTCACCTATACCTCTCTTTCTGCCTCAAAGCGGTGTCGCAGCTAGTGGCTGGAGCATTGCTGTCCAATTCTTGCTGTCAACGAAGTTTTGGATACCCTGCTGCTGTCATTGTGCCTACTACGGCATGACAAGCTTTTGTTCTGTATCCTGGTAGCCCAGGCCTAAGCAAGTGGTCCCTCCCGCCCATGGAGGGGCAAAGGCAAGACACAGTCATCGAGGTGTGTGTGCGTGTCAAGCTCTGGAGGGCTGATGCTTGCGGGAGCTCCTCGTGGGGCCCACCTATCGAGGGGCAAGGATGGGTGGAGAATGCACCCCCAGTCCCGGCAGCCCGCGGACGACCCGACGGTGGGACAATTTATTGAACAACCTGCGTCACCAAGTGCATCCAGCCTGGACAGCCCCTCGATGCGGTGTGCGAGGTGGTGCGTTGCCTCCTCCGAAGGCCGGTCGCCGGCGGACTCGGATGGGGACCACCGACAGGAACAGTGCAGCTCGGAGCCTCGGCCGGGCATCAGTGGCGGTCACTCTCGGGTCGGAGGTGTGGACAGGCAGGATCACGTATGCATCAAGTTCATCCACCATCGGTCGGGGGGACGGCGTAGAGGGAAGGGGAGGGGGAAAACAGGGTCACATCATCTGTGTGGCTTTCCATCCTTCCGTCGTCTCTCTTCTCCTTCGACTGCAACACGCCTCACTCAGGTACCCGATATCGCAGAGAGGGGATTTTTTTGGGGATGCAGTTTTTTTCACCTAGGGGCGTTCCACGAGAGAAATTACGAGGTCCCTGGATCCTGGCGCGGATGGTGCAGGCGCAGCGGCAGCGGGCTTGACGGGAAACAGGGTGGGGACCAGGTACCGGTACCTTGGGGCCACGGTCTCGGACCACACCCTAAAGCCAGGCCAGAGACACGACGCGCCATTGTCTCTGCGCCATGAGTGAGGTGGTGGCACTGGATTGGGGGCGGGCCAGGTCTCGTCTGCGTGGCAGTCAGTCAACAACTGAAGTGTTGTTGAACGTCGAGGCCCCCCTTCCCTTTCCCGCATCCCTCTCCCCATCGCCAATCGCCGTTCCCCAACTTTCTGACCGCCTACTGCTGAGTGCTGACCCTTCACTGCGTGTGGCCAACAGATTTCACCCCCCTTGGATCGACTTGAGGTGCTTTGCCTGAACGACCAAGCTAAAGTAGCTTGCTACCTTGCCTCCTACCAAGTACCACCTCACTCACGCAAACGAACGAATGCCCACCAGCCAACCATCAGCCAAACATTTGAACAATTTCTTTCCTTGGGGTCGCCAGATCAACTGCCTTCTTCGACCGCCCCTTTTTCTTTCCATTTCATTCCCTCTCACACCATTCACCTCCCACCCCCTCCAATCTTCCACACTCTCTCGCCATCAACGTCAGAGACCCTACTTCCTCTCCGTACCACCAGCAATTGCAAGCAACAAACGTTTTGCTGCTCGGTCAGAGACCCTCCATTGTAAGTTGATCTCAAAACACCCCGGTACAAAACAGCTCTTTTCTCGAACAAGGCGTCTTTCGTTGTTGCTTGCGCTGGAGAACTTTCTTTCCCAACCGAACCCCCATGCCAGATTTGAACCCCTGTATCGCTTGGACCCACCGCCTTTTTTTTTGGTGGTGCCCAGGTGAAGTGCCCCCCCCCCCCTCGTCGGGTCCCCCAGCACCTACCGGCCGCCGGACAGCCTCGCTGCGAATCTGGCTGGGATCCAACGAATTCAGCTTGCACCAATTCCCCTTCCCATCCTCTCCTGAATTCTTA